CGGTGATGCCCCCCCAGACCCAGTCCCCGGGGCAGCCGGCCCAACCTGCCCCCATGGTCCAGCTCCACCAGAAGCAGAACCGCATCACCCCCATCCAGAAACCCCGCGGGCTCGACCCAGTGGAGATCCTGCAGGAAAGGGAGTACAGGTAGGGATTGGGGAACAGGGGGGGGGCTTTCCCTCTTCACCCCCCCCTCATGCCATCCCTTCCCACCTCCTGGGGCATCACCCGGCCCTTCCCCCTCCTGTCATACCCCTGGGGGCATCAGGAGGACATGGAGGTGTCAGAGTGGGGCTGGAGGAAGCCCTAGAGATGCTGGAGCCCCTCTGCTGGGAGGGGGTGGTGATAGAATTGGGGGGGGTTCAACCTGGAGAAGAGAAGGCTCTGGGGAGACCTTGGAGCCCCTTCCAGTCCCTCAAGGGGCTCCAGGAGAGATGGGGAGGGAGCAGGGATCAGGGAGGGGAGCCATGGGATGAGGAGGAAAGGTTTTAAGCTGAAAAAGGGGAGATTTAGAGAGAAATTGTTGACTCTGAGGGTGGGGAGAGCCTGGCCCAGGTTGCCCCGAGAAGCTGTGGCTGCCCCATCCCTGGAGGGGTTCAAGGCCAAGGTTGGAGGGGGCTTGGAGCGACCTGCTCTGGTGGGAGGTGTCCAGGGATGGAGCTCAATGGTCTTGAAGGTCCAGGTTGCCCAGAGAACCTTGAAGAGGTTCAAGGCCAAGGTTGGAGGGGGCTTGGAGCGACCTGCTCTGGTGGGACGTATCTCGAATGGAGCTCAATGGTCTTGAAGGTCCCTTCCCACCCAAACCCTTCCATGATTCCATGAGCAGGGCCATCTCCACCCAGCCCAGGTGGCTCCAAGCCCCGTCCAACGCGACCTTGAAGGTTCCCAGGGACGGGGCATCAAAGAGGGGAGATTGAGGGGAGATTTAGGGAGAAATTGTTGACTCTGAGGGTGGTGAGAGCCTGGCCCAGGTTGCCCAGAGGAGCTGTGAGGTTGCCCAGAGAACCTTGAAGAGGTTCAAGGCCAAGGTTGGAAGGGGCTTGGAGCAACCTGCTCTGGTGGGAGGTGGAACTAGATGGTCTTTAAGGTCCCTTCCCACCCAAACTGTCCCACAACCATTAACGTGTGAGGTGCAGAGATCTGGGAGGGACATCCTTGGAGCTTCTCAAGGTGCCTCCTGGTGAGGTGCAGAGATCTGGAGGGACAAAGAAGGGGGTGAGTTTTCCTTGGAGCTTCTCAAGGTGCCTCCTGGAATCTGGTCCCTCTGGTGTTTTACTGGGGGGGTCTCTGCCGTGGCAATCGATGAAACCAGGGTGGAAGCTCTGGGTGCCAGGAGCCCCCATCTCACCTGAGATAAGGCCTCCAGGACACCAGAGCTCCTGCTGGTGGTGGTGGTGATGGAGAATTCCTCCTCCTGCCCATCCCTGAGGTCCCCTCTCCTTGCTCCGCAGGCTGCAGGCTCGCATCGCCCACAGGATCCAGGAGCTGGAGAACCTCCCCGGCTCCTTGGCTGGTGACCTGAGAACCAAAGCTACCATTGAACTCAAAGCACTACGGCTGCTCAACTTCCAGCGCCAGGTGAGCTGGGTCTCCATGGAGATGGGGTTCAGGAAGTAGTTGTGGCCGGGAGCTGGGTGAAATTAATTGGAATTAATGAATTGCTTGGGTCGTTTTTGGCTGGATCACTGGGCCAAGATCAATGGCATGAGTTTCAACAAGGGCAAGTGCCAGGTCCTGCCCTTGGGCCACAAGAACCCCCTGCAGCGCTACAGGCTGGGGGAAGTGTGGCTGGAGCTGCCTGGAGGAAAGAGACCTGGGGGTTCTAGTTGACAAAGGGCTGAATATGAGCCAACAGTGTGCCCAGGGGGGCAAGAAAGCCAATGGCATCCTGGCTTGTATCAAAAATAGTGTGACCAGCAGAAGCAGGGAGGTGATTGTGCCCCTGGACTCAGCACTGGGGAGGCCACACCTCGAGTGTTGTGTCCAGTTTTGGGCACCTCAATCCAAGAGAGATCTGGAGGTGCTGGAGCGAGTGCAGAGGAGGGCAACGAAGCTGGTGAAGGGCCTAGAAGACAAATCATATGAAGAGCAGCTGAAGGAGCTGGGGCTGTTTAGTGTGAGGAAGAGGAGGCTGAGGGGAGACCTCATCACTCTCTACAACTCCTTGAAAGGACACTGTAGAGAGGTTGGTGCTGGGCTCTTCTCACAGGTAATTAGTGACAGAAGGAGAGGGAACGGCTTCAAGCTCCAACAGGGGAGGTTTAGATTGAACATTTAGGTTTAGATTGAACATTAGGAAGGAATTTTTCACCCAAAGAGTGGTCGGGCATTGGAACAGGCTGCCCAGGGAGGGGGTGGAGTCACCATCCCTGGCTGTGTTGAAGGGCCGTTTAGATGCAGTGCTGAGGGACATGGTGTAGGGGAGGACTTTGTAGAGTAGGGGAGATGGTTGGACCCGATGATCCCAAGGGTCTCTTCCAACCCCAATGTTTCTCTGATTCCATGAAAAGCTGCGGCAGGAGGTGGTGGTGTGCATGAGGAGGGACACGGCCCTGGAGACGGCGCTGAACGCCAAGGCCTACAAGCGCAGCAAGAGGCAGTCCCTACGTGAGGCTCGCATCACCGAGAAGCTGGAGAAGCAGCAGAAGATCGAGCAGGAGCGGAAGCGTCGGCAGAAGCACCAGGTCAGCTGGGACCGGCGTCGCAGGGATTGGGCGGCTGGAGGTGGCCAAGATGGGGTTTCGTAGGGAATTGCCCTTTTTTAGGGCATTTGGGGAAGTTCCTCGTTGGGCCAGGGGGTGGTTGGTTGGGCTCCAAGGGGGGTAGGTTGGACCAGAGGGTGGTTGGTTGGGCTCCAAGGGGGGTAGGTTGGACCAGAGGGTGGTTGGTTGGGCTCCAAGGGGGGTAGGTTGGACCAGAGGGTGGTAGGTTGGACCCCAAGGCGGGTAGGTTGGAACAGAGAGTGGTTGGTTGGACCCAGAGGGTGGTTGGTTGGGCTCCAAGGGGGGTAGGTTGGGCTCAACCAGAGGTAGACGATCTCCGGAGAGGGGTTGATTGGTCCTGAGGGGGGTAGGTTGGACCAGAGGGTGGTTGGTTGGGCTCCAAGGGGGGTAGGTTGGGCTCCAAGGGGGGTAGGTTGGACCAGAGGGTGGTTGGTTGGACCCAGAGAGGGGTAGGTTGGGCTTGAAGAGTGGTTGGTTGGATCTGGAGGGGGGTAGGTTGGACCAGAGGGTGGTTGGTTGGACCCAGAGAGGGGTAGGTTGGGCTTGAAGAGTGGTTGGTTGGACCTGGAGGGGGGTGGTTGGACCTGGAGGGAGGTAGGTTGGACCAGGGGGTGGTTGGTTGGACCCAGAGAGGGGTAAGTTGGGCTTGAAGAGTGGTTGGTTGGATCAGAGGGTGGTTGGTTGGATCTGGAGGGGGGTAGGTTGGGCCAAGAGGGTGGTTGGTTAGACCTGGAAGGGGGTAGGTTGGGCTCAAAGGGTGGTTGGTTGGACCTGGAGAGGGGTAGGTTGGACCTGGAGAGGGGTAAGTTGGACCAGAGGGTGGTTGGTTGGACCAGAGGGTGGTAGGTTGGGCTCGAAGGGTGGTAGGTTGGGTCAGAGAGTGGTTGATTGGATCAGAGGGTGGTTGGTTGGATCTGGAGGGGGGTAGGTTGGGCTCAAAGGGTGGTTGGTTGGACCTGGAGAGGGGTTGATTGGTCCTGAGGGGGGTAGGTTGGACCAGAGGGTGGTTGGTTGGGCTCCAAGGGGGGTAGGTTGGGCTCCAAGGTGGGTAGGTTGGACCAGAGGGTGGTTGGTTGGACCCGGTAGGTTGGACCAGGGGGTGGTTGGTTGGACCCAGAGAGGGGTAAGTTGGGCTTGAAGAGTGGTTGGTTGGATCAGAGGGTGGTTGGTTGGACCAGAGGGTGGTTGGTTGAGCTTGAAGGGTGGTAGGTTGGGTTAGAGAGTGGTTGGACCTTGTAGGTCCCTTCCAACCCAAATACTCTATTGAATATAAGAGAAGTCCATCTCTCTGAGCTCTCTGAGCATTAGATGTATGAATTCAGCAGAACACACCATGGAAGGTGGTGTCCCACCACCAACGAGGTGTCCCCGCTGGTTGCAGGGGGTCGGACTATTTAAAAGGTCCTTTCCGACCCCAAACCCTCCCGCGGTTGTCCTGACGCTCTGCCCTTGCTGTTCCCCCCAGGAATACCTCAACAGCATCCTCCAGCACGCTAAAGATTTCAAGGAATACCATCGCTCCGTCACCGGCAAGATCCAGAAGTTGACCAAGGCGGTGGCCACCTACCACGCCAACACCGAGCGCGAGCAGAAGAAGGAGAACGAGAGGATCGAGAAGGAACGGATGCGCCGTTTGATGGTAAAGCATTTCATGTGTGTGTCCACAACGTACAGTTGTCCCACACCACCTCCATGGGTCAGAGGAGAGGACAGTGGGGTGGGTGGAGAAGTAGCTGGATGGCAGAGCTCAGAGGGTTGACATCAGTGGCTGGGTGGTCACTGCTGGTGGTCTCCAGGGGTCCATCTGGCTCTGGTCCTGCTCAATATCATCCTCAACGACCTGGGTGGAGGGGACAGAGTGTCCCCATAGCACTGTTTGCTGGTGACACCGAGCTGGGAGGGGTGGGGGACACACCATGAGGCTGGGCCACCATCCAGAGAGACCTGGACGGGCTGGAGAGTTGGGCAGAGGAACCTCATGATGTTCAATGAGTAGGGTCCTGCCCCTGGGGAGGAAGAACCCCCTGCCCCAGGACGGGTTGGGGGTGACCTGCTGGGGAGCAGCTCTGAGGAGAAGGATCTGGGGGTCCTGGGGGACAATGGGGTGACCATGAGCCACCAACGTGCCCCTGTGGCCAAGGAGGCCAACGGCATCCTGGGGGGCATCAGGGAGAGCGTGGAGAACCTCAAGGGAGGTCATCCTCCCCACACTCTGCTCTGCCCCATCTGGAGCACTGGGACCAGTTTTGGGTTCCCCAGTTCCAGGAGGACAGGGAACTGGTGGGGAGGGTCCCGGGGGGACTGGGAGGATGATGAGGGGCTGGAGGATCTCCATGATGAAGAAAGGCTGAAGGACTTGGGGCTTTTGAGTCTGGAGAAGACTGAGGGGGGGATCTTCTGGCTGGTGGGTGTCAGGAGGATGGGGCCAGGCTTTTTCCAGTGGTGCCCAGTGACAGGACAAGGGGCAATGGGGACAAACTGGGAGATGGGAAGTTCCATCTCACCATGAGGAGGAACTTCTCCATTTTGAGGGTGGCAGAGCCCTGGGAGAGGCTGCCCAGAGAGGTGGGGTGGTCTCCATCTCTGGAGACATCCCAACCCCAACTGGATGGGACCCTGTGGAACCTGCTCTGGCTGGGGGGAGGTTGGAGGAGACGATCTCCAGAAGGTCCCTTCCCACCCCACACCGTGCTGTGACCTCAGCAGGAGCAGGGGGGGTTAACGCTCTTCCTCTCCCCAGGCTGAGGATGAGGAGGGCTACCGCAAGCTCATCGACCAGAAGAAGGACAAGCGCTTGGCCTACCTGCTGCAGCAGACGGACGAGTACGTGGCCAACCTGACGGAGCTGGTGCGGCAGCACAAGGCCGCCCAGGTGGCCAAGGAGAAGAAGAAGAAGAAGAAGAAGAAGGTGAGGGGGTGGAGGAGCCGGGAGGAAGGTCTCTGTGGAGGTGCAGGGTCCCTGATGTCTCCTCTTCCTCCTCTTGCAGAAGGCGGAGAACGCGGAGGGGCAGACGCCGGCCATCGGACCCGATGGGGAGGTAGGTCCTAAGATCTTCCTCCTCCTCCTCCTCGTGCCACGTAGGGGTTGGAGACATCAGCAGGTGTTGGGGTCTCCCCTCATCATCCTCCTCCCTGACACAGCTGAAAATAGCTGAGTTTTGCTGGCGTTAAAGCAGTCGTTTTTGGGGTTCTTCATGGTCCTTTTGTGGTGGTTCTGGGGTGGGTTTGCTGGATGTTGGAAATGTGAGTTTTGAGGCAAAAACCCTCCTGATTTGGACCAAGAATGACCTGATGGTCTGGTCTTTCCTTCCCCTCCTCTCCCTCCTCTCCCT